AACAGACTGAGATAGATAGATGGGAACAGACTGAGATAGATAGGAACAGACTGAGATAGATAGGAACAGACTGGGATAGATAGATAGATAGATAGATAGATAGATAGGAACAGACTGAGATAGATAGATAGATAGATAGATAGATAGGAACAAACTGAGATAGATGGATAGATAGATAGATGAGGAACAGACTGAGATAGGAACAGACTGAGATAGATGGGAACAGACTGAGATAGATAGATAGATAGATAGATAGATAGGAACAGACAGAACAGGATGAGATAGATAGATGGATGGATAGATAGATAGATAGATGGGAACAGACTGGGGACAGGGAACAGACTGAGATAGATGGGGAACAGACTGAGATAGATAGATGGATGGATAGATAGATAGGGAACAGACTGAGATAGATAGATGGATAGATAGATGGGAACAGACTGAGATAGGAACAGACTGATAGATAGGAACAGACTGAGATAGATGGATAGATAGATGGATGGATGGATGGATGGATAGATAGATGGAACAGACTGGGATAGATAGATAGATGATAGATAGATAGATAGATGGATGGGAACGGACTGGAGATAGATAGATAGATGGATATATAGATAGATGGATAGATGGATGGGAACAGACTGAGATAGATAGATAGATAGATATATAGATAGATAGATAGATAGATAGGAACAGACTGAGATAGATAGATAGATAGATAGATAGATAGATGGGAACAGAGATAGATAGATAGATAGATGGGAACAGACTGAGATAGGAACAGACTGAGATAGATGATAGATAGATAGATAGATAGGAACAGACTGAGATAGAACAGACTGGAGATAGATATGAACAGACTGAGATAGATAGATAGATAGATAGATAGATAGATAGGAACAGACTGAGATAGGAACAGACTGAGATAGATAGGAACAGACTGAGATAGGAACAGACTGAGATAGATAGGAACAGACTGAGATAGATAGATAGATAGATAGATAGATAGATAGATAGATAGATAGATAGGAACAGACTGAGATAGGAACAGACTGAGATAGATAGGAACAGACTGAGATAGATAGATAGATAGATAGGAACAGACTGAGATAGGAACAGACTGAGATAGATAGGAACAGACTGAGATAGATAGATAGATAGATAGATAGATAGATAGGAACAGACTGAGATAGATAGATAGATAGATAGGAACAGACTGAGTGAGGTAGGAACAGACTGAGATAGGAACAGACTGAGATAGATAGGAACAGACTGATATAGATAGATAGATAGATAGGAACAGACTGATATAGATAGATAGATAGATAGATAGATAGATAGATAGATAGATAGGAACAGACTGATATAGATAGATAGATAGATAGGAACAGACTGAGATAGATAGATAGATAGATAGATAGATATGAAGAAACTGAAATAGATTCAACTTTGTCACTAATATAAAGCATTAAAAATAATAATAATTTAGTTACGTATCGTAAATTGCGGTATACAAGTCAATCTCGATATTTTTAGCTCAAAATTCTGAGTTCGACTTGTACGCCACAATTTACGGCAAGTGAACAATACATTTTTAAACATCATTAATAAAATAATTTCTATATATTTATTTGTATTCCTTAACATACAATAGTTTATAATTAATTGAATATCCAATCTCTTAGCCGGCTTTAGCGACGGAGGATGTCTGAATGAGGAAACTTAGTGCAAAGAATGTTCAAATAGCGATATGAATGTGGAACATTTCAAAATGTTAACTTTCCTTCCTCTTACCTAATTAGTAGTTACAACGCTTGGACAATCATGCGGCCCTTAACAGCCAGTCAGTGAAACTCACTCTGTACAGAGATGTGTTTTGTGCGTCTCCCTGAAAACTGTCTTCCAAACATAGTCTTCTTCAACGTGATATGTTATACTTGTGAGCAATGACAGTTTTTTTAACATCCACTAGCTTTCCTTTTCAGTGTCGGAGAGAAGGCATGTAATACATTTTCATATCATGTTAGCACGTTTCCTTTCGAGACAATTAAAACTTAATTTATATTCTTCCGACTTTTTCACAAGCCGTCATTATATATATATATATATATATATATATATATATATATATATATATATATATGTTTGGGTAAATATCTATCCTGACAGCAGATCCCACCAGGCCGCCCACATATATTTATCAAACCCAACTGAGCTATATTTACTAAACTTTTAACATTCCAGTAAAACGATAAATAAAAGAAAATTACTGACCTGCTTGATAAGTTAGAATTACTTTGCCTGAGAAATCACGAGGTTGTTTCGATATGTCGTATCTTAAGTGAAGTATATTTCCATTTGAAGTGATTTTATTTTGTGTTGTGTTCGTCCACCTTTTGCCTAGAAAGAAAAATAATAATGTGTATTTATATAATAGAGAGAACCAGTGCAGTAAACAGAGAAAAGGTTGTGTCCCAGGGACTCCCGGTGCTGTAACAACCGAACCCTCCCATCTCCACTTGTTAATTAAAAAAGAAAAAAAAGCGACAATTCCCACGTTCTGATTCCAACCACGCCTATTTATTTTCGTGGCAACTTCACAGAAGAAGAAAAAAAATTCTAAGAAATTGATTAATTAAAATTGAGAAAATGATTCTTAAAACTTAATTCAAATATAATTCAAATGATTCTAAAAATTAATCCAAATCATAACATTCTAAAATTGGGCATTTCGCTGTGTAATGTTTAGCAAGATTGTCTCGCTAGATCAATTACAATTGAGTAGTGAGTTCGATTCTCACTGATTGCTCCACACTTTCGACTTTATGCCACATCTTAGATATGCTTAGAAAATAATTTGGCACTTCAGTGTGGTGTAATGGTTAGCAAGCTGAGTCGTGAGTTCGACACTCACTGGATGTTCCATACTTTCGGCCTTATGCCACATCTAAGCTACGTCTAGAAAATAATTTGCTACTTCGACGTGGTGTTATATTTAGCAAGCTTGTCTCTCTAGATCAATTACGACTAAATAGTGACTTTGATTCTCACTGGGTGCTCCATACTTTAGGCCTTGTGCCATATCTAAGCTACGCTTAGAAAATGCCCATGAGAAGCCAAAATAATATTTTAGTTATGTAACATGTTTTCCTTTTTATTTGAAAAATAATTTAAAAGATTTGAGGGTTTGATAACCGTGAAACTTCAGCATTTTTCATGCCTTTTGGCAAACAGTTTATGCAACAGCGCATGACGATCCATGACCAAAGAAAAACGGATAAAGGACATTAGACACATGCTTTGTAATTTACATTTATTTATGGCAAACATTTTGACATAGAAAATACTGTTTAAATTCTCATGAAATACTTTGTTGTATGTTTAGATACCGTTTCTTCATACAAATTAACTAAATTCTAGACGAATTCGACATCCTCCTAAGATTTTACCAACCTGGCCGCTTCTAATGAATTCTAAGCAGTCATTAGATTGAAACAAATTTTAAAACCCCCTCTACCCCACTAATTACAAACCAAGACTTATTAGATATATAATTTTTTTTTAATTCCAAATCACCGTTTATTCTGACGCCAGCGTTAATAAGAATTTTGAAAAAATTCCATCCCAACTTATCACAACCACCATGCTTATTAGATTTTACAAACCCCCACCCCGGTTATTCCAACTCCTACCCCGGTTATTCCAACTCCTACGCTTATTAGAATTTTGAAATAATTCCACTCCTACCGCATTTCGCTTATCACAAACGCCAACGTTTATTAGATTTTGAAGAAAAAAAGAAGAAAAAAAAAGGCTTATTCCAAACTTCTTTTTATTCAAAACCTGAGGGTAAGTACGATAAATATGTTGCTAAGAGTGGGTCATGTTTTTGTACAATGACAAGACCTTTCCCACACTTCTTATTCCCCATCTACCCTCTCTCCTCTTCAGTGTTATACTGTCCCAAGTCTATTAAATATTAAATCATTGACTCTCAGGGTCGGGTTCAGGTGATGTTTTGGTTTCTGTTCTACTGCATGCCGGAAATGACTGCAGACGTTCGTGGATGTCATCACGTGAGGTAGCCTGTTGAAAAATCGCTGGACAGTAACCATAGCCTACATTTGAAAGCTAGAGACAAAATGAATAGTTGACATCTGGATTTTTAGCGGTTTCTTTTCAGCGTCCATTCATACAGTATCGAGCAAAATTGGCGTCGGACAAGATATACTTGCAACACTGCATATCGTCACGGATAAAAGCAGTAGCGAGGAAGATGATTGAGGAAGCCAATGGAGATGATTCGGTTGGAAGCAGTACGTGTTGTAATTACTTTACGAGATTCAGGAAAAGGTAAATTTGACTTAAACTACATAACAGTAAACACCAAGAATTTGGTAACGTTGACATAATTCAATCAGCATTGGAATTGGCAGAAAAACTTGGGATCAATCACTCAACAGTTGTAAGATGTTAGCGAAGTATGGAGTAAATTCGAAAAGCAAGGAAATTGATTCTACAACAATTACCAAACAATATCAGATTTTCACGCATAATACTTGACATTGCATCATCTCGTGAAATTCAAGTTCACGTTACGATATGATCTTTGATTTCATCTTACGTTTTTACAGAAATTTAAACAGAATTTCTCTTAGAAATCAACTTAAGAAAACATTTCACTCACCGTCATAATAGAGAAAGGCGTTGTATGGTTCCCAGCCGTATTCTGTTTGAGGTATGATCTCCACACTGACCTGCTGATTCTCTGGGCTGACCAGATTCCATTCACACGGTGACCTGTACGCAAAAGAAATCGAATGCAATTTGATTACTTTTTACAGAAGAATAATACTGCTACGCGATGGGCTATTTTTCTCACCTTTGAACTTAAAAAGAACTTAAAAATGAAAAGGAGATAAACAGATTCGACGATTTTAGTGAAATATTAATACGATGTGTGTAGAATCGAAAGTGAACTTGTCTTCTTCACACAGTTTACAGCTATATCACGTTGAAACACCAGTTCCTGTACGATCACCGAAGTTAAGCAACGTCGAGCTTGCTCAGTACCTAGATGGGTGACTGCTTGGGAATAGCAGATGCTGTAAACATAGATTTGCAAGTGGTATAATGGATAATGACACGGAACTGTTAATCAGAGAGCCGAATTCGAATTCCCATTGGTTTCGTTATATTCACTTACGCACAAATACCCTTGGGAAATGTATGAATCCACCTCTTCTACCTCCAGCTATGGGTTAATTAGTAAGATTTGTATCAGTGAAACTATTATCTCCAAAAAGATAAAATTCTGTACAAAATATTTTGACCCCGGCATTAAATGAGCCATAGAGTTGATATGCTCCGAAACAAAAACAAACAATCAATACGTAGTTGACATTTTGGGTTGTTCCTTTGGCTGATAAACATACATTCCCACTTCTTAGAACTGATGATTAGTCCTTTCTTCTCGCTTTCCTTTACTACCTTCTGCAGGAGTTACTGTGACCACTCGGAAATTCCAGGTGCTGTAAGTTTGGGTGTGCGGGTGGTGTAATTGATAATGACTAGGAATTGTTAATCGGAGCGCCGAGTTCCAATTTCCGTTGGGTTCGTTATATTCACTTACGTCCAAATACCCCCTGGAAAATGTATGAATCTACCTATTATCTCGCTAGCTATGGATTAATTAGTAAGAATTGCATCACTAACCATTATTATCTCCAAATAAAATGAAAAAATTGCGTACGAAATATTTAAATTTCGGCATTATGTAACCCATGAGGGTTGATTATGTCACTAAACAAAATCGTAATTATTTACATTATTCGGACTATTGTCTTCATCTTTGTCGCCATATTTATTACAACGTTTCAGCCGTTGTACGCGCCGGCCTTCTTCAGGTAGTTGGAATGTCGAACTGAACCCTTTATTTCTTTATTGTTCTAGTTCCACGTGCCATGTTTAATGGATGTTAGTTATCAGTTATCTCCTGTTAATTTTACTCTGAAAATTCTCCAATGAACCCACACTCTTTGGGTGCTGTCACTGGATCTAACTGACGCCTTTATCCACTGTGCCATGTGTCCTCAAGGACATGACACAGTGGATAAAGGCATTAGTTAGCTACCTTAAAAATCCATCTGGTTTTATGGATTCTCTATTCATCATTATATTGTTCTATTCTTACATTGAGCCGTCTATTAGATTGATATCTTCCTTGGAATTGTTCCTATTAAGTATCAATTGATATATATACGTCCATTTAATAATAATAATAATATATATTATTAAATGGACTAAGCCCGACAATTATTTTAATATATTTATTGTTTATGCGTTATTTTTAGAGATAAAAATATTTAAGTAAATGCCCTGTTTATAACAAACAGTATTAACAACATTTACCGGTCTGAATGTCCGAGAAATTTTCATAGAAAATATGTGTCCTCTGACAGGAATTGAACCTGTATCCTACACGGAACCGTCCTATAGCCTGACGTGTTATACCATTTAGCTACAGAGGAAGCGTCTGGTTAGCAAAGTCGAATTACTGCTTTTAAACTACAAATTTCCCATATAAATGTTTGTATCTATAAAAATAACGTAAAAACTATATATATATATATATATATATATATATATATATATATATATATATAAAGACGTTAGACACTTTTGCGCAGAAGAATTAATGATAACCCTAAGTGGAAATATATTATAATTTTAAATTTCAGTTCCCTCCTCCGTAAGCTTTCCTCTCTGTCTTTTCTATAAATACTTTCATGAGCTCTTTGCTATGGTACCAAAAGCACAGCACTAGACTGGCGTCGAGATCTCATCAATTTACAGTTGAGATGGCTAAATGTAGCAGTAAATTCTATGCTAACAGTTTCTTCTCTCGCATTCTCGCTTGTGGAACTCCCTTCCGGCTCCATGCTTTTCAGTTAAAAATTTACATGCAATGTCAATCGCTATCTACTGTCCTCCTGATTACTCTTTTCTCTTTCTGCTCATCATTAATGTTTCTGTTCCTAATTCTTCCACGCCCTGTAACCCCTTCTATTTTAGTGGCATTACTGCTTTGGTTGGGGGCGGGTGATAAAAAAAATAAATGATAATATAAATTTGACTTACTTCATTGTGAAGAGGGAAGCGTTAGGGACGATAAGAAAAGTTCTTTCTTTATCCACCGAAATAGTCTCGTTTTCAAAACAGAATGGCACTGCAGAGAGAATCAAAGTGAAAAGTAGAAGGAAATTATTCCTAATATAACAGTGAAAATAAAGAGTCAATGTAAACGTATACATGAATGGGTTAGAACAACCATACATTACAAACTGTTTAAATGTTAGATCAGTGGTTCTCAACCGGGGTCAATGTGAATCTTGGAAGTCCCTGTAATATTACTGGGATCCACAGTAATATTTTAGTGATCCATAGAGAAATTTCATTTCGGAACGGTTGTTACAACTGATGATTGAAATTTCTACAGTAAAATACGACATGTTAAAATACCAAAAATAGAAAAACAACTCTAAAACTGGCAGCAAACGAGATCAAGTGATGTAAGTTATAGCGTCCCTTTTACTCTACCGGATGTTGAATAAAAATTGAGAAAGATATATAAAGGAAGGATTTATGAATAAAAATGACAATAGGAAAACTGGTATTGTCATTTTTATTCATAAATATTGTCTTCTCTACTGGTTAAATCAGAGAAATTTTCAATGAAAGGATTATATATGTAAAGGAAAATTATATAAATATTATAATTTATTATATAAATTAAATATATTAATAATAATAGTTTAAATATTAATAAAGTAAAATATTAATATTAATTAATTAATATAAAATATTTAAAAAAATAAATAATAATAAAAAAAATTAATTTAATATATAAATTATATAAGGATTATATATAAAGGAAACATAAATTTACTATTTCTATAATCCAATTATAATACAATTCCTAAACTTATCTATTAGTAAACAATAAAATAAACTTTTTTCAACGAATGGTTATGCACCCCCACCTCCCTAAAAAAAAATTAAGAGTAAAAGTGGTCCGTGGGTAAGAAAAGGTAGAGAATCACTGGATTAGATTATCAACATGAAAAAAAAAAAGGTAAAAAATGACGGGAAAAAGCAAAATGTTTATGGTTCCTCCATAAGAAGAAGAATTCTTACGGTTCCTCCATGAGAAGAAGAATTCTTACACTCTACATATATTACAATTCCTCCTTATATTAGTGTTGACGTTTTTTTATTATATTCTAGTCAAGTTTCTCTTTTATTGCTAACTCTAATATATGTTTCTAACGAATTTTTTCTCTCTTAATACCCTTGCTTTTAAAATGCATCTTTGGCCATTTCAATACGTCTTCAGATCTCAGTGTCCAACTTTCCGTCCTCTGTTAGAACACTTCCCAGGATATTTAAATGTTTGTACTTGTTTGCTTTTAGAATCCCCGATTTGTAATTTACATTTTGGGATCATCTTTTTGCTGATAACTATACATTCTATCTTCTTGTAGTTTATATTAAATCATTTCTACTCGCTTTTCTTCGCTACCTTTTGTAGGAGCTTTTGTAATTTTTTTTCGTGTCTGCTATCAACACTGACTGAACAGTAAACGTACTAAATACATTAAAAACCAGCTCTATCATCTGTACATTATTTCGGTTTACGAACTGTAAATAAAGTACAAATAAATGTTTATTTATTTTTCACTTTATTTCTTAACTTCAGTTATTTTGATAAAAATGTATTGAACTTTGAATGTTGATATACACGCATCCCTAGATTAATGCGCATTTGATTAATGCCTTTTCAATTGATGCACTAAAATTTTTATATACCAAAATTTGATTAGTGCGGTAAAACATTCTTCAGTTTAACCATAGCAATTGAAAATTGTTTTTTTTTTTTATAGTTATCGATGTCCCTCAGGTTACGTCGGACCTGACGTACGTTCGTTTCGTGGTTACGGCGCCATCTCCCATTATACGTCACGCGGCGCTATATGAGGAAAACGGATGTTGTTTCTTCACCGGCTGTACGCCATACTGAATTGTGCTACATTCGCTATCTCTCGTTTGTGCCGTTTTTTGGGGGGAACTCTTTACCCTTTATTATGGCTCCCAATCGTAAGACAAGACTCGTGGGTGCTTATGTAGGTGATTTCCGATCTACGTCGAAAATCAGGTTACGTTTCGCCGTAGGAACGGATTTTAGACGCAAGTCAAGGACGCTCTCTCTCTCTCTCTCTCTATATATATATATATATATATATATATATATTGTGCGTGGGGGAGGGAATAAAACTCTCCCTGAGTAGGATCTTCCGTATTCACATGATAAAAGTTTTTATACAGCGTCTAGTAACTCATTCATTTATGTAAATTAAGGACAGGTTTTCAACGTGGGAAATAATGGTATTTTAATGTCCCCTGTCGCATTAGTGTATATACGTGTTTCTTGTGATCAGGACACTACTTACCTTTGATGGTTTGATATTCTAAAATGATGACGGAATTGTTCGGTGAATATGCTATATAACTGATGTTAAATTCTTTGGCGGTCAAAGAAAATGAATTTGCTTTGCATCTGCCTTTCCGAGGGAAAGAAACTGTGGAAAAGAAAAGTTATTTGGCATGAGAAGAATTATTATTTTTTTCAATTTCTGGAAGAACACAAAACAATTCGTTAATATTTAATCTATTTCAAAATCATTAACAAAATAATGGGGTTACCCAGAACATATTAGGTTACCATCCCTCAAAAGTCTCCAATCAATTAAATACAATTACTTACCGCATATACTCATGTAACGTGGGGTGCAATGGTTAGCAAGCTTGTCTCGCTAGAACAATTACGCCTGAATAGTGAGTTCGATCCTCACTGGGTGCCCCATACTTTCGGCCTTGTGCCACAGTTAAGCTACGCTTGAAAAATTACTATACACATATAACGTGCGATGTTTATTTTAAATATAGCTGTACTTTTTTACTACAGTAAATGTATATATATATATTGGTCAACGGCATAGCCAGGGCTAGCAATACATACGCTATCTCATGTATGACACGACCCCCTTAAAAT